AATTGCACGTCGTGATTTCGGCCGCGTTAGAATACGTTCTAATGTATCGGGCCGGTGATTGGCAAGAGCCCGGATTCAGATGGTTTCGAATCCGCATCGCCGCAGAACAGAAGCAATGCTCTCCGCCTGCGGACACGGAGAGAAAACGAGTTTGGCTGAATTAACCTGACAATGAACGCAGCAAACGCGTTTCGGTTGGAAGACACAGAATCTCTGGTTCATGGGGTCGAATTTGGTTTATCTTTTTACCGGGACTGTCTGTCATCAGCGCAAACATCCGACACGACGACAAAGTATCGTCTTCCTATGTCTCAATAGAAATTGAATCTCGTCGGTAGTCACGAGATAGTAAATTTGTTTCTAACATCATTACTAGCCAGTAATGTAACGCTCGCTTCTCCTAGTGACTAGATAAATAAGTCAGCTGATGATTAAACAGATGAAATTACAGTTACGAGGTGAAAAAACCACAAGTGATCGTTAGCTCTCTCTCTCTCTTTCTTTCTCCCTCTAGTATAACCCTCTAATATAACATTCATTCTGCTTTCTCGTTATTTTTTAAAAATTAACGAAAATCAAAATTAAATCTTAATTTTGATTTGATATCCAATTTTAAAATGCTAATAATACAGTAGCTAGATGATGTAGACAACTATTCCATGATGATGTAGCCATCTATTCCATCATATTTCATATGTAATGATTAGACAACGGCGAGACCGCAAACCCGATTCTATATTTCAGTGAATAATCAACCAGTAACGAATTAGTAACGAGCCGGAAAGTTTAATCTGGTATGTGCTAGCTAGCTAGCTACTAGCTTTTCAGGTCGGCTAGTTACATTTCTACTCGGAGGTATATAGACAGAAAAATATCATTCTATTCCTAAGAAAATCGATCATTCAGTTTGCTATCCCTCCCTTAAATAACAGTTATTTTCAATGGAGAATATTTAACAATAGATTTAATAATAGATAGATAGAATTTAATAATAGATAAATAGTCTCAAAATATATTCATTGCAAATTTTAGAGGAGAAGCTTATATACTCTAAAGAATTTATTCTCTTTACAAGAATATTATAAAACTTCGCCAAAAAAAAAATTGTTTTTCGATTCTTTGCAGTGGCAAACCGAATTTTTTTTCTTAATTTAATACTCTTGATTAAACTCACTAGGATTCAGAATGTAATCTGAATAAATATGATGCTTGTATGATCGATTCATGATATGAATTTATGAAATGTTTGAAACAAGTTACACTGACTTGAACACAGTATGTATTTTTCTTCGTGTATGTGTGTGTGCGCGCGCGCGCGCGTGTGTGTGTACGCTGTCCTGTGAAATATCTTTCGAATTCTGCAAAAATAACGCAGCGCTGTCGATCACGGTGCAATCGCACCGTCGGGAGGAGAACGGCTTTTCTTGGTCGAAATGGAGACCCATATTTTCATCATACTTTAGCGCCGGTTATAGACTCTTGTTGATCGGTTTCTCAATCTGTCACAGTGACATTCATTTAAACAACCACACTCGATGCTTATAATAAGAATAGAAATTCTAAAAAAGAGTAGAGACAATTCTAGAAATTGAATTTAGTTCACGAGAATGAGAAATTCCGCTCGCTTCTGTTCGCGAGACGCATGTGACTCATTCATTGTCGGATTAATTCCCGGAATCAAACTTAGTTCGTAAGAACGAGCAATTCTGCTTCCTCCGACCGAAACGCAGTTCGCTCATCGTCGGGTTAATTCGACCAAAATTTTTTCCCCGCGTTGAACGTTGGAATTATCTGAATTTTATCGCGAACATTACGCCCGGAAATGCTAATTCTCGGCCGTCGGCCCGCGAATGATATTGCAACCGGGGAAATTACAAAAATGACGACCGCGCTCTCGCGGAACGCGGGTGTAATCGCGTGTATTGAACGCGCTCCGTCGACGATATTACAGCCGAATTTTTCTCCCAGCCGACCCCGCCAGCGCGTTCCCAGTGACGTTCGGCGGTATTTAAATTAATTATTGACACGAATGCGCGCGTTTCCGCATGATGGGCGCGCGGCAGGGCAATGCGGGCGCGTCTCGATAAGCGGATAATTATTCCCGTCTTACGATAGAACGACGAAAACGCGGCCGTCACGCGGGGCTCTGCGTGTATATTTATATTTAACAACGTCCGCAGGGGTGTATTGTGTGCCGCGCCCGCGCTCGAAATAACCAAGCGTAATCACATCGCAATTTTTCGCGAGGCGTCTCCGAGATGGCAACAATGCCCGATGTGATTACCAACACAGAATTTTCCCAAGATGCTTTCAGCATAAATTCCAATGAGAAGACACGGATTTGCCCTAAAATTGCTTATCCCGCTACGATACCGACTGGGAATCCTATTCTTGTCTCAAACGTGAACTCTCCGTTTAGAATCCAAATTGCAATAGTATAAGAACTCGCGCTTTTTTCATTTAGCTACATCGGTATGTACTTTTATAGTAACAAACAGGAAATTCTATTTTGATGTCGACTTTATGATGAGATAAAAAGTAAAAAAGATTTAATAAAAATTTTAAAAGTAAAATATTTTTAAAGCATATTTTATATATGTATATTTTACTGAATGTTGATATTATTTGGAGAGTCATATGTTTCGTTGAATTTTAACACAAAGTGAAGGCCAGGAAGGATATTGGGAAGACTACAGATTTTCCACTTACACTCCTATGTATTGAAAAAAAAATACCTGCAAATTTGTTTGCGGGATATAAAGTTTATTTCTGCGAAATAAAATTTATCTCTGCAAAATATAAATTTTATTTCTGTGAAAATAAACTTTGTATCCCGCAAATTTTCAAATATTTTTTTCTCAATGTGTTTGAAACACTTCCAACAAAAATCCATTAATTATTTGGTGGAATCGGACTGGATCCCAATTAGATTCGCAAGAAAGAAATTTCCCAGGACGGAATTCTCTCGTTGAGCTAACACGATCAGGAGGGTATAACGGAGTTCGTGACATGTAAAGTTTGATCTTTTACCACCATGAGCCATATTTAACATTATTACCGCGTTCACGTCAATTAACTCGATTAAGATTGACGGGTTTCGCGACGAGTGATCGAAGAAGCGCCGAATGCAAGACGTGAAAAATTGAAAGTGCACGAGCTGTCTGTTTGCGCATCACTGGAGAGAACGAAATCGCGACGGAGAGTCGGATTCAGTTCATTCGATCCCAGCCGGCCGTCCGCACCCCATTAAAAATGAACCGGGATTCCACAGACGATAGTTACATTCCACGAGCCACCTAATTCCCGTTAGACCGCGAGTCGGCGGCCCTTCGCGCTGCTGGCGCGGTAATTGGGCCTGCGATCGGGACGCGCGGGAATCCGAGCCGGCTCGAAAAGGGCAGCGCGCGTCGGGCGTGCAGGAGATTGTCCTTGGTTTCGCGCAAACTTTGCCGTCCGTGTATATATACATATGTACATATATATGTATGTATATATATATATATATATGTGTGTGTGTGTGTGTGTGTGTGTGTGTACATATATATGTACACAGATCACACATGTATACAAACGTGTATTTATATACATACGCACACAGTCGTTGCTAGACATCCCCCGGCGTGCGCTCACGGAATTTATAGGGCTCGTCTCGCGCTCAACCTATTTTATAACGTGTGCGCGAGAGAACGACGCCGACAACGGTGAGACGACGACGACGACGAGGAGGACGTGGACGAGAACGAGAACGACGAAAAACGCCAACGTTGTCGTCCGACGGAAAGGGTTGCAGAGAAAAAAGTAGGTTAGTGAAAAGAGAGAAAGAGAGAAAAAGCAAGAGAGAGAGGGGAAGAGGGAAGGGGCAAATTAGGAGGTGAAGAAAAAGAATAGGCTCGACTCGAGCCTGCTTGCGCTCTCTCGGCTGCTGGCTGCAATTAGCGCCTCTTTAGTTAGCCGCCCTGGACGGCTTCTTCTCATCTTCCTGGATGCCAAGAACTGGCCGTGTCGCTCCTCAAACCCTCCCCCGCGCCCTTCATTCTCTTTCTCTCTTTTGCACTCGGACTTTTCTCTCGTCGCCGAAGTTTCGTCACTTTCTTCCTCGCGGCGTCAAACGCTTTGTGAGCTCCTCTCCCTCCCCTCCTCTCGACCCACCCTCCACCCACCGTCGGCGCTAACGACCGGAGGGTGTCGACCGTTTAATTTAGCACGACGCCTCGGTGTCATCGCGGTCGAGAGGGACAAACTTCGTTTTGATAGCCGCGGGAGATGCAGTAGGTAGATGTAATTTGGACGATTGAATCGGCTTGACACGCAGATGAGCGCGACAAGAGCGAGAGGGAGGAAAAGGGAGAGGATATCCTAAAGCCGATATTGGTTTCCGGCCGGGAACTTCGCTATTACGGTGCCTCCCAGGGACATCGTGAGGAAAAGCGTCGCGCCGACGCTTTCGTTTCGCGGCGAGTTCCGCTCGACGGACCAGCGTCGCCGGGACAGCCTCCGGCGAAAATCCGATCGGCGAACGAATCTTAACGAATGTTCGAATATTTGACATTGCGGCTTGACGAAAATCTCGAAACCTCATGCTTTATTCAACATTCGCGTCCGCGGTAGTAAAACTCTCATCGGTATCGCCGGCTCGTTACGGCCGCCGCGATTGTACCGTGCATCATTCATATGATGAGGAATAATTGATTGTCGATACGTTAAATTCTAAATCGCGCGAAATGCGATCTGCGCGATGCTGCGGGCTGGTATATTTATAAGTTCGCATCCGCGCGTCTCGCGGATCATCCGTTTGACCTGTGTGAGCCGCGGGATACGCGCGCGCACGCGGTTACATAACGTTACTCTCATCCTCAAACGGGGGCGAACTGGCAACAATTCGCCGAATACGGTCGCAGGCCGCAGGGATGACCCAGTAAAAGCTCGCGCGCGGTCGGGGTATCGGCCCAGCCATCCGATAAAACGCGGGGAGGCGGGAGATTAAAATCGCGGGAACTTACTTTCGCGTAGAGTCACCATGTAGTAGGACGCCTGGCTGGACTTGCTACGGCCCAGAGCATTTATCGCCGCCACTCGGAAGCTGTAGACCGTAAATGGCCTCAGGTTGTCGACGGTGTAGAACGTGTCGTTGTGCGGCGTTATGATCTCCTTCGTCGCGTTCCACGGCCCGTCTTCGTCGATGCTGGAAGTAACAAATGCGCCTGTTACGATTTGCATTTCAATTATGCGCCGTGTGACTCTGCGTGCGGCACACCGCTGTGTTACGCGAGACGCGATTCTTCTCGTCTCGCGTTCGGCCGTCCGCTCGCGCGCCCCGAGTTCGAGTTTCCTCGAGCTAGAGGGAACGCGGTAAAAATACATATCCGTTGTGTACGTTACAAATTCTCTATTTTCTCGGCTGAGAGATATAAATAATAAATAAAAACAACCGTTCAGAGCGGAGAGAGAGAATGAATAGCGTTTGTTATTGTACTGGGATGTCCTTACAGAACAGTGCAATGATTACGAAAATTAAGCTGTACAAGATACTGTTCAGACGTGCAGGGTGTCTGGCATTAGACGTAGATCTGCTTGTACGCAGATGCTTAGAGAGAATATAGTCTCTTGTCCCATATAAATCCGCCTCAATTTTACTACCGCCTTTATGCCGAACTCTCTTTTGTCGATAAAAGTGCTTCTAAATGTGCCTATATAAGCCGATCAGGAGGCTTATACGCCACATTTAGAGGCGCTCTTATCGATAAAAGAGAGTTCGGAATAAGGGTCTACGCTTCTGGTAGTGCGGGAATGGTCTAAGGAATAGTCGCAGGAACTGCGAAAGCGAGGTATGTCTTGCCAAGGAACATGTTACACTTCGCTAGAGACGTAGCAAAAACTTTTCAACACAGCACATTTCACTTCGTCAAATATACGTGGCGTGTATGAAATGAGAGAACAGTCAATTACCGCGCGGAGAACGTAGATCTATTTCCCCTCGGTTAGAAAATTTTACAGCAACTTTTACTATAAAACTTTTCCCGTGCGGACGTCGTCGAACAAATCAGTTTTGTACGATTTCGCAACCGCGATAATTGTCGAGATTTATTAATTAAAGAAAATTAGCGAACGAGTGCGCATGACGTGGTGGAACGAGTTCTTTACGCGCACTCGTCATACGACGTCGTCAAATAAATTCCGTGTTTTGAATGAGACGTTGGCGAAAGGTTTCATTTCTCTTCTTCTCTCTCTCTCTCTTTTTCTTTCTCTCTCTCTCTCTCTCTCTCTCACCGCATAGTATGTATACTCATTTTTTAATATTTTTTAATTAATATCTGAATACCGCAATTTTTTCAATTTTTTGTAAAGAGACAAGAAAGACTTTCTCATCCAGTTTGACGAGTTTCACATACACACGAGCGTATATGCATGTTGCGTTAGATCTGTATACAGGGTGTCCCAGCTCGATTTCACAATCTCTCGTGAAGGATAGAGCGGATTAAGGTAAACACGAAAATCCAATACCATTCTGCGACATTCGCAATAACTAATATAAATTGAACAAGATCTGTACACGAAGGGAATGTTGTAGTAAAAATTGCAATACAATTTTAATAATCCGGGAGTAGATTGGCACTATTATGAAAGATATAATAAAACATAATACAAATGACCATACACATGATAATTTTTACTATGTTCATAATCATTTTTACTGTATCTTATTATGATTTTCACCATAGTGTCAGTCTACTCACGCAGGACTAAAATTGTATTGTAATTTTTACTACAATATTCCCTCCACATAAAGGATGACGCTAGATATGATAGATGAGCTCTAGTGACAACGTGCGCCGTCATGTGCTCGTACATTAGATCAAACTGTACAAAAAGGTCTCCTACCATTTTGCAAATGACCACACAGATTTTTAGTTATTAATTACAGAAGATTAGTGCATTATCGCGCAAAATCGTGCAACAATTTACTTTAAGTGAGAAATAAAAATCTACGTGGTGTTATTTGCAAAATGAGAGGACTTTTTTGCACAGTTTGATTTAACGTACACAACGGCAGACACTACAGCTGATCTACCGTATCATGCGTGATCATTCACAAATCTTCTGCAATTAATAATTAAATTATCTCGATTGTTATTGCGATTTTCGTAAAACGGTATTAAGCTCTTTTGTTCATCTCAATCCGCTCTACGCGATAGATTGTGAAATCGAACTGAGGCACCCTGTATACAGTGCAATGTAAATTTTTTACAATTAGAGCAATAGTGCTGTTCTTTTTCAGAGAGAGAGAGAGAGAGAGAGAGAGAGAGAGGGGAAGAGTTATAGATTTGGATACGCGACAGGCGATTTTCAATCCGCGGCGGATCCGCGCGCGTGAAATACGACGAGAAGCTGTTGTTGTTACGACTGCTGCAAAATGTTTGTCGCGGCTGGCGTAATTCTAGGAGAATAATTAGCGGTCGAAGACGCAGTGTGCCGGCCCGTCGGCGGTGGCGGCGGTGGAGGCAACGGGGGCGTAGGCGGAGCGGCGGTGGGGGATTTTATCGTCTTCGAATTGCATATCTGCGTTTTACTGTAATTAATATAGATTATTAATCGTTGCGCGATCTGTTACGGGGAAAGTTTCCGCGCAGCTGCGGTTCGAATAATTGCCACAGTTTGCATTCGCACCAGGTCGATTCGTTTCACGGTATTGTGCGTTTCGCGTACACACACACACACACACACACACATACGCACGTACGCAAACATAATATATTTGTCACGTACAGCGAATTGCGGTTATCACCCGGTAACGTGGCGCGACGTTAATTCTCCGAGTGTTTTCTCGGTTTCCCCTCTTATTTCTCATCAGCATGACCATCTGACCCGCGGCGATGGAGAACATCGCTTCTCCCTCTTTTTGTGCGCCGCCCGGTGCAAAATATCTTTCCGATTCCGCAAAAATAACGCACCGCTGTCGACCGTGCGCGCAGTCGGACAGAAACGGTCTTCTTCAGCGAAACTGAGAATCCATATTTTCGCGATGTAGCGCTGAATATAGCCTTTTCTTCGATCGGGGTTTGTCAATTTGTCGCAGTTCCGTCCGTCAGAACGGCCGAGCGCTCGGCATTTGATAAAGGAATCGGGTCGAGATTCCAAGCGGACAGTGACTGCGAATTATGACGAAAGCAAAGAGAAAAAAGAAAGAGAAAGGGAAAAACGAAGAGACATGAGCGCGGAAATAAAGAATAGTTTATACGTTATGCATGCCGTGCTCTCTCTCTCTCTCTCTCTCTCTCTCTCTCTCTCTCTCTCTCTCTCTCTCGCGTATCAGTGGGTTTACACGCTCGCCCGTCTCTCCTGCTGGCGCGCTATGCTATGTTCAACATCCTCTATTGGACGCAACCAATTTACCGCCGACAAACCCCTATCGTCAATTTGCCACTGCGAGATAAGGGAATGATCCGGCAATTAAATACAAAAATGACCTGTCGCTCTTTTTTTTTTATTTGCGTCCGAAAGCTCGACGCAAAAAAAAATTAAAAAAAAAGCAATCGGCGACTTGTATCCAATTAACGTATTCGTGTCATTGCATTTCGCGGTAAATTCGTTCGATTTTTCGATGCGTGCGGACCGGAAAATGCATGGCGGCCCGCTACTTGCGGCGCGTCACGCGCGTATCGATCGGCGCGACGGGAAATGCGCTTCGATTTTTTTTTCCCTCTACGCGCTCTCCTTTGAGAGATTCGATTAAACTCCTCGTGGGAGGTGGACGGGTGGAAAAAAGGAAGGGAAGAACGAACGAACGGCACCGCCTTTCACGGGAAAGAAGTCTCGCGCTTAAGCAAACAACGCGGAGACTTAATTTGGTCGGACAGTTGAGTGCGCGCGGCATATTAAATTTCTATCATGAAGAGAAACAACTTTCTCATTAGGATTCGTCGGGTAATTGATTGTTTCACTTCCCTCGCCATGATTTTCCTATCACAGTGCGACGTAGAAGCGCTAACTGCTTCTTTCGCGCAACGGAGGCGTACTTCAAGAAACTCGGGGCAATTAATTATTCGCTCGTTCGTAAATGAAAAACAATTCCGCGATGCCGATTTCTTTTGACTTTCACGAGCGTTTCGATATTCGCGAATGAAACTGCACGCTTCGCAAAACCCTTCTCGATAGTAATGTCGGTATAACTCGAATATGTCTATAACCGACTAGTGTCCATGTTTTCGCGAATACACGCAAAGAAATGACTTAGCAGTAATATATATATATATATATATATATATATATATATATATATATATATATATAATAGAATTTCTCTCTCTCTCTCTCTCTCTCTCTCTCTCTCTCGGTATGTTCCCTATTAATTTCTAAAGCCTTTGACCGACCTGGACCAAATTTTGGTAGCTATTCTCTAGGACCTTGTGGAAAATACATGTTACCGTGAAATCTGTGGCCACTCCACGCCTTCTCCTTGATTCCGTCCCTTTAACACTTTGTGATAATTTAAGTTTAGACATTCTAGATGCAAGAAGCCCAGACGGGGAACGTCGGGTAGTTTAAGCTGATGTCTGCTAAATCTCAGCGACTGATTCGAACTTGGCTAAAAGGCTAACTGTTTTGCTGCCATTGCTGCTACAGGAGTTCGCTGTCGCAGCTAAAATGCATTCGCTGTGGGATACAAATTTATTGACTAAAACCAAAAGCGCACATTTGTTTGGATAGCTAAGAAAGCGGTGGCAATCTCTAAGTACCTTATGTATCTGTGAAGTACACGAATGCACTCGTTTATGTATAAGAAATTAATTTATAAGAAATTATGTATAAGAAATTAATTTATGTATAAGAAATTAATTTTGTAGAATTCGTTAATATTAAAGAAAAAAGAAAAGAAAAAAAGCGTGGAAAGTACCTTTCATTTTTAAGCAGTTACGAGATAGCAATATATATATTATTAATTCGCTTTCTTCGTCGTCGTGAAAAGACCAGATTATTGATCTATTAATGTGGATTCATTGATGCACAATTCACGCGTAACTCCGAAAATTTCGGCGCAGAGCGCATTACTTTTTAACGACTTCTTTGGTCGCTTTGAAGTCGGTTTTGCATTAATGATCACATATTGCGTATTTGCACTAATTCGCCGGGAGAATTATTAATTAGCCGCAAATTGCGGATGCCATGCGACATTGCCGCCGGTCA